ATCACCCCCTTCCTTATCCTCCAGATCACCCCCTTCCTTATCCTCCAGATCACCCACTTATGAGACAAATAGGCAGGTAGGGGTGGAGTGGGCAGGAAGGCAGTCCCAAGATCTCATGGATGGTGATGGGACTGCACATGCTTTGAGCACCTACTCTATGCACCAGGCACTTCCTAGTCCTTCTAAGAACCTGGCAAGCCAGGTGTTAAGCCCATTTCACAGATGTGCAAACTAAGGCTCAGAGGGTGAACTTGTCCGAGAGCACATAGCTGAGAAGTAAAAGAACTGGGATTTGATCCCAACTCTGCCTTCGGGCCCTCTTTGATCCAATATGCAGCCCTCCCTTCTTCCACAACAGCCCTTTGGTGGTTTAGACTGGTTTAGAACTGGTTTAGAATCCTGCTGATGTCCATGGGCCTGGCACTCCTTGTCTGTATGACACCACATATAGAAGCTCAGGAGCCCTGAAGCAAAAAGAGCCCGGCCTTGGTCATAACCAGGGGCCACAGGGAGAGCTAGGGTGGCGGAGGGGGAGGCGGGGAAGTCAGAGGACCCTCCTGAGGCAGGCAGTCCTCAGTCATAGGGAGAGGCTGGTTGGTGGTGATGCAGCTGCTGACAGCCCAGCTGCTGTGTGACTTTGGGCAGACCGCTCCCCTCTCTGTGCTTCTGTGTCCTTGTGTGTGATGGAGCTAGTCTCTCTCTCTGCGTCTCCTCCGATTCTGACAAACTGGGGTTATCATTAATATCAATGCCCACATACAGAGCTTGAACCCAGGACCAGGCGCTGGGATCTGTCCTGTACATGCCCGATTGCACCAACTCCTCTCAACTTCCCTGCCTGCCGGCTATCACAGGCTCCCCACTTTACTTAAGAGAAGACTGAGGCTCAGAGAGGTGGCGACAGCTGCCCGAGTTCACACAGCAAGGACAGAGCAGGGATCTGAGCCCAGATCTCCATCCATGGTTTACACCGCGCCTCTTTATGGTCCTCACCACCCAGCAAAAAGAAAAAAAAAAAGACCGTGGCGAGCAGTGGTTGCCAGACTTTCGCTGACCAGGTCAAGGCCTTGTCCCCCATGCCTGGCCTCGCTTGCTGTTTGGTTTGGCATCTCGGAGGGTTGTGGCTTGGCCTTTGTCACGGAGCTGTGCATGACCTGCCACGTGCATTTTGGTATTTGGGCCTCGAATAACAAAAGGATGTCACCTCCTTGTGGAGGCCTTTCCCAACCACCCTTCCCCATCTGATTCCATCCTTTCATGACTGGCCTTCACCGCCATGCTCACTCTCTCCAACTCTCTCCTTTACTTATTGGTCTAGTTAGAGCTCAAGATGGGGAGACTTTTTGCTTTTTCCCCAGCACCTAGTTCAGCTCCGGAATGTAGTAGGCACTGAGTTAACACTTGCCAAATGAATAGGGGAAAAAATAGATTAGCTGTGATGTGTGCAAAAGGGCCTAACAGAACTGCCTGGTGCATAAGGTTATAAAGATTTGTGGAAGGAATAAAGGAAGGAAGCAGGCAACTTGGTTTGGTGGACTGAACTTGGCCTTGGAGCCAGGGGACTGAGGTCAAACGCTAGCTCTGTCCCCTGCCCTCTGAGCCTCAGTGTTTCCATTGGTCAAACGGGGTGGGCGAAGAGATGACGGTGAAGGCTTCCTCCGGCGGGGTGTACTGCTCGTCCTGTTCTCGCTGCTTGCCCCAGAGCTCAGAGTCATTGTGGTCAGCCTGCAGGCTGTAGCCAACTTCCTCCGCTCCAGGGGGCTTCACTGTTCTTCCAGGAAAGCCTCTAGACTGGTGTGTAGCCTTTGGTCTCTGGACCAAAGGTCTCTTTGTGCAGGACTTGCATACGACCACAAGGTGAGGCAAGGGGTGTGAGTGCGTGGCCAGGTTTGAGTCGGGGGAGACAAAAGGGCGTGGTGGAGACTGTGGCAAGCTGAAGAGCACCTGCCCTCTCTAAGGGGGCAGCCCCCACCCAGATCCACTCTCCTGTTCCATGCGGGGCTGTGACCCAGCACCGCCCGTCTACTTTAAGAGAGATCAGAATTCCAGATTCTTAGGCGACATCTCTCGTGTTTTAAATGTTGGCAACTTATTAAAAACAAAACAAAACAAAACAAAACAAAACAAAACAAAACCCTAAAGAACAAGAACAACATTCCACCATGTGGGCCAAGTATACCTTGGAAACCTGGCTTGGCCAGTAGGTAGCACCTGCTGACCCCTCAGGATGACATCTTCCTCCAAAAGTTGCAACATATTTCAGACCTAAAACCAAAGTTCCCTCTGTCTGTCATCAGTCAGCTCGGAACATGACTGAGCTGGGTCCTTGTATAACCATGCCTTCCTCCTTTCTTTCTGCCCACTATTTATGGGTCCTCGACCTGCCCTGGGGAATGTTTCCATCCACCAGCTCCAGTGTTCCCATGTTCTCATTCTGGCAAGGGAAGTCAGAGCAGGGAGAGAGCGGGTGAGACACCAGGGCTTTTGTGAATGAATTCTGCCCCTCAAAGGTAATTTAAGTGTGGAGGGGAAGTTCAGCAAGTACTATGCCTGGTGTGTGAGAGAGAGCTGCTGCTTCGATTTGCTCATATACTCACCCCTTTTTGAGCAACCCACCCTCTTCCTTTGGGGAGCAGTTCCTCCTCTCCCCTCTCCTATTTGTGTGACTCTCAAGGAACCACCAATAATAGGGCCCACCCCCTAGCCATGGGAGTAGCCCCACATGAGCCAGCCAATCCCAATTTCCTTGGGATTTCCTATATGAAAGCTAGGAGAGATGACATTATGAAGAGCCGACTACACAGAAACAGCTGAGAGGAGAGATGGGGGGAAAGAATTTGGACACCATGTAAGCCGCTGGATTCAGCCAGACCTGAAGCCAGACCCACCTTCTCAGCTTTGTGAGCCAACAACCTCTCTCTCCCTCTCTCTCTCTCTCTCTCTCTCTCTCTCTCTCTCTCTCTCTCTCCCCTGCTAATTTGTGGGACTTAGCATCTACAGCCACCACCACAAAATCCTAGAGTACATGAGGGAAATGTAACTTTCCCCACAGAACTAAGTTACTTTCATCTGTCCCCCGAAACACCAAGATCCAGCGAGGTCAAGCGACTTGTCCAAACCTCAGGTTTCATTCGTGTTGTCAGCTCATTTCTCTAGAACAACGAACGGTTCCCAAACTGGTTCTTCAGACTCCAAGGCCCCCACGGAAGTTTCCAGAGATGCCACGGAGGGCAAGAGTGGGGCACAGAGGACAGGACTAGAGAGAGCTTTGAACTCCTCTGGGGAACTGGTATTGCTTGTGCTTTTACCGTTTTCGAAGAATTCGCTCAGTTCTTTTCTAAAATCATTTTCTTTTCGTCTCCCACAAGTTATGAGTTAGGGGAGAGGGGACGGCACCCCCACTGAACAGGTAAGAAAGCCGAGGCCCAGGAAACGAATCACTCGGTGACATAAGTGAATAGTTGCCTGCATTTCTGATCCACCACCCAACTCTCCACCCCCAGTCTTAAAACATCCCCTCTGTTTCCTGCCTGCCATCCCAGCATTCGAGCTTCCTTCTGGAGACCTTGTGGAGCTCCCACTTTGCCCCTCTCGTTTGGGAACCTGCGAAGCACTGGGGGCAGGGGTGGGGGTGGGGAGGGGGGAGGCGGAATGTCCCTTTCTCCTGACTCGTTAATGCTTAGTGACATCCGCCAGCAGGAAGGGGAGTGTGGAGGTGGAGCCAGAGGATGGTTGGCGGTTGTATTTGGGGCCAAATGAGAGGAGCTTTGCTAACCAACCGCGCAGCTGAGCTCTCTCTCTGCTTCCACACACTCACCGCTGGGCCGCTCTGCGGCTCCTTGTCCATTCCCTTTCCAGCTGGGAAACAAGTTCTTCTGAGGAGTTCTCTCTCCGAACAGACCAGAGGTCTTTTGGTCCCAGTGGCCTCCTGTAGCCCCTCCAGACCAGCCTGTCAAAAAAAAAAGAGGGTCACCAAGGCAGGCTCCTTGTGTCTTCTGCCCCATCAAAGTCCTGGCCTGGTAGCTGTGTGACCCTGGGTAAGTCCCTTTCCCTCTCTGCACCTCTGCTGGCCCCTCCATAAAGTGAAAGCAATGAACTTAACTGCACCTATTATTGGCTGGCACTTTCCAGTTTATAAAGATCATGTCATTTAATGCTCACATGAGCCCATCTGAGAGGTTTTTATTGACCCATTTTACAGAGGAGGAAGCAAACAGAGGCTCAGAGAGATTTAACCAAGAGACAGCCTGTGGGGCAGGGGAAATACACCTCCCCTGGAGTCAGAAGTCCGGAATGGAACACTATCACTGTGGAGAAAACCTGAACTCTTCCTTCGGTGTTCCATGTTCCCCCTCTCCTCCTCGCTCACCCTCCAGCCATCCGGCCTCAGGACCTTTGCACATGTGTGTCGCTCCGCTCAAAACTCCTGTCTTGCATTCCTCACCTGGTCACTTCTGACTTGTCCTTCACCTCAGCTTAGGTGGGATTTCCCTAGAAGCCCACCTGATGACCTCCACCGTCCAGATCCCCCCATTAAACGATCCCATAGTTTCTTGAGCCTTTTCATTTATAACTAGAGGCCCGGTGCACAAAATCCATGCATGGGAGGGGGTCCCTCAGCCTGGCCTGCACCCTCTCCAAATCCGGAACCCCTCGGGGGATGTCTGACTGCCTCTTGCAATCTGGGACCACTGGCTCCTAACCGCACGCCTGCCTGCCTGATTGCCCCTAACTGCTCCCCTACTGGCCTAATTGCCCCTAACTGCTCCCCTGCTGGCCTGCTCACCCCTTACTGCCTCTGCCTCACCCCACACCCAGGACCCAGGATTCCTTCCTCCGGCTGGTCACAGGCACCCGGGACCTGGGCTTCCCTCCTTCTGGCCAGCCTCAGGCACCCAGGACCCAGGCCGGCTTTGCCCGGGCCACAGCTGAAGGCACCCGGGACTGCGGGGCAGGTGGCTTGTCCCTCTCCAGGGCCACAGCCTGGCTGGTCCCCATTCCTCTCTCTCTTGAGCTCATTTGTGCCTGGCTAGTCCCCATTCCTCTCTCTCGAGCTCATTTGTGCCTGGCTGGTCCCCATTCCTCTCTCGAGAGCTCATTTGTGCCTGGCTGGTCCCCATTCCTCTCTCGAGAGCTCATTTGTGCCTGGCTGGTCCTCATTCCTCTCTCCCCAGTGTTGAGTGTCTGAGCCATTATGGTGTGATGGCGTGAGGGCATGGTGACCATTTGCATATTAGCTCTTTATTATATAGGATGCTGTTGCAATTATGATCATTTACTTTTTAGTCTGATCATTTATTTAGTGTCTTTCTCCTCCATAGGGACAAAGACAGCGCTTGCCTTTATCCTCATCCCCTGGCCCAAGATTTGTCACATGAAGCCACTTACCAACTCTGTGACATGGTCATGTCACTTCTCATCAATGGACCTCAATTTTTTCACCTTAAAATGACAGTGTTTCCCCACACATGGGGCTGGTATGTGAGATGACTGTCGGTGGCCCATTGCTAGAAGAGGTCATTGAGAGGATGGGGCCACTGGTTGCCCCCACAGCTGGACCCCACAGCTGGACCTGGTCAATTGAAGGCCTCTCACCCTCCCCTGTCCTTGGAATGTGCACACTGCCCACTCTTCCTGCACTAGGAGCCATTCCAAGGATGTAGCCTTGAGAGAGAAAGATGTTGTTGAGACCATCTGGAAGGTCCATGTGACTGAACCCCATTAAGGCCTCTGTATAAACTGTTAAGATTCTGACCAGTGAGTGTGGAGATCTTGTCTTGCAGCCCAAGATGAGGCTTGTAGGTGAGTTCCCTTGCTTGTGAAAACCGCCACCTACCATTCTGGAGCCTGTCTCTTCCATCTCTCTTTGCCCTCTGGGTACAGGGCCAATTTGCAAGCCAGCACACACACACACATTTGCAAACCAGCACGCACACACAGAAATTAAGTGTTATTTTCTTTTTAGGTCTCTCTAATCTTTCCAATGATGTCAAGGAGAAGGTCTTATTTGGTGCTGGTCTTGTGCTCCTCTCTGAGACTTTTCAAGTTCCCTGCCCTAACTCAGAGCAAACTCAGGCGAGCAACAATTCTGATCTAGAAATTATTAACATTGCTTACTTTTCACTGAAATTATGTTTGGAGTTCTACATGGCAAGTGATTCCTTAGAATTTTTCCAATTTGGCAGTGATAGAAAGTTTCCTTTTTTAAAAAAAGGCTATTAAAGTAGAAAAGTGAGTTAAATTAAAGAAAAAAAAACATTAAGTAAATCATGTATAAATAATACTCTAATAAGGCAAAAAGCTTGAAGAATGGTCCATAAATATCTATGTTTGGGAAATACAGGGGTAGGTCTGTTTTCTTCTAGCACTTCTATGCTCTTTCCACTAGCTCCACATCCCCAGAGCAACCCATTCTGCACACATTTAGCAGCTGCTTTATATAATACTCACTGTAGGCCAGACCCTGTTCTCAATTCTTCATAAGCCATATCTCATTTAATCCTCACAACCCTATGAGGTAGATGCTATTATCTTCATTTTATAGGTGCAGAGACTGGGGCACAGAGAGGCTAAGTAGCTTGCCCAAGGTCACACAGCCAGGAAGCGGTGGGGCTAGGATTCCAATTTAGGTACTATGAAGTCTGACCACAGTGTGCTCAGGAGGGGGCCTGGTGGATGGGGACACCCTCAGTGCCCAATTTGCTGACCCTGGAGAAACATGTCTTCTCTACCAGCCTGGGAGCCTCCAGGGGGTAAAGATTTGGTCTTTCCCTCCTCACCCCTGGTGCTTGGCACATAGTAAGTGCTTATGGAATGACTGACGCTGAGTAAGAGACGATTTTATCGAGCACCTGCTATGTACAAGCACTAACCACTTCACATTCAATGAAAGTAGAGTTGTTCCCATTTTAAAGAGGGGAAAACTAGGACTCCATATTTGTGATATGGCCGGCTAAGAGAGAGCTCCAGGGTTCAAGCCCAAATCTCACTCCAGTGAGTGAGGGGGAGTGGGATGTGGCGGATGGGCACTTTGAGAGGGACGCACAGAGGCTGGAGCAGAGAAAGCCAGCTGACCTTGGAACCCCACGGGGGACGAACGGTGGTACCAAGTCAGGGCAGCAAATGGAGGTGAGGAAGGCACCACCTCAGCCCTTCCCAGCTACTGTACTTACCCAGAAACCCACCAGAACATGGCCTTGGAGGGGAAGGAGGCCCCAGCCTCCGGACAGGGATTCTGTAAAGACAAAAGATGGGGCAAAAGGAGAACGCAGTCTCACATTCCAAGGCTGCTCTGTGGCCAGGGGAGCCAAGGGCAGGAAGACGGGGGGAAATGACCATCAGCTTAGTCTCCAAGTGCACAGCGGTGTGCCCGGCCTACTTGTCGGAGGTAGACACCTAGCAGGCAAGGCAACAAGGGACTGGGCCACAGGACTGACAGCTTGTTATCAGTTTTTAAATTTTTTTTCTGCCATTATCATGGAAAAAAGGCTAGACTGTAGTCTAACTTGGTTATTTAAGCAGTTGAGCTTCGTTTTAGATGACCTCAGATCAACTGCCTCTTCCTCAGAGAATTCTCTCCTGAGTTCACGTTACCTGTTGTAAGCTCTCAGGGACCGCGAGGTTCTCCTGCAGAGCATTTTCCCCAGTGGTAATTTTCCACACATTCGTATAATTACGTGACTAATGTTTGGTTCTATTACTTGGCTGTTAGCTGCATGAAGATAGGCACATCTGCTTATTCGGTATAACCCGCAGTACCTAGCTGGGGCACAGAGCAAAGGCAGGCAAACTGCAGCCCTGGGGGCCAAACCCGGCCCACTGCTTGTCTCTGCAAATAAAGTTTTATTGGGACACATTCCCTTTGTTGACCTATTGTCTGTGCTACAGCAGCAGAGTTGAGTAGTTGCCACAGAGACCAGATGGCCCACAAAACCTAAAATAGTCTCTATCTTGCTCTGGACAGAAAAAGTTGGCCAACCCATGCCATAGAGTAGACGTGCCATACACGTTTTGCTGAATGACGGAATGAATAAAAAAAGAAAAAGCCTGTGCTCTAGTTTACCCGCTTTGGTTACATGGGGAGACTGAGACCAGAAGTAGAACAGGGACAAGGGAGGCACCGGATTGGCAACTTACAGACTGCTGGGGCTCTTTAGGGAAGAAGGGGGGTCGATCGGCCAGGCAGGACAGCAGAAACTGCGCCACCATCAGAGACAAGCACAGGTAGGTGGACAGGTGGCGGAAGGGGTCACTCTGGAAGCCCTGTGGGAGAGAAGGCAGAAGTCCCACTGAGTCCAGGCAGGCAGATTGATAAGCCAACTGTGCGAATCCCCCGTCTGATGCATTAGTGGGTGGCCTGTGGGATTTTCCCATTAGTTACAAAGGTTACTTTGTAAAAAATCTGTCCTTAAGGACAGAAGGGTGGTTCTCTGTCCTCTCCTTTTAACCATCTGGCTCAACAGGTCTTGGGTGGGTGCCACCTGTGCAAGTGGTTGTCAACTGGGGGTGACTTTGCCCCCAGGGGACATTTGACCACGTTGACAGACATTTGGGGTTACCAAGATGAGGGTTAGTGCTACAGGCATCCAGTGGGTGGAGACCAGGGATGCTACTCAACATCCTACGACGCACAGGACAGCTTCCCCACCCGAAAGAGAATTATGCCACGAGTGCTGAGAAACCCTGTCTAGGCTATATATTTTTCTCTGCAGATAAAATGATCCATCATGCCCCTAACATGGAAATGCTGCTGTCCAGTTTGGGAAACAGGAATATGAGCGGGTGTGCAAAATGAGCACGGAAATACAGATGCATGAGAGCACGGGTGAGGGTGGGAGCAGGTGAGCATGAGGGGAAACCTGCATGCATGAGGAAGAGTGTGTGCAGGTGTGTGTCGGGGGAGGTCATGGAGAGGACGTGACTGCGGGGTGACCTACAAGCTGGACCTGGGCCATCAGAGACTCCACACCCTCCCCTGTTCAATGAGGAAGCCTTGAGAGAGCAAGGTGTCTGGATGGCTCACGTGACTGAACCCCATTTAGGCTGCTGTATAAACTTTAAGATTTTCGTGGGTGGGTGTGGAGATCTCCTTGTCTTGTGGTGACCAAGTTCCCTTGCTTGTTAAACCACCACGTTCCAGTCTAAAGCGGCCCGCCTTTTGCCCTCTGTGTATAGGACCAGTTTGGAATTTCACGTGGGAGCTCCGCGCTTGCCAACCCAGTGTGTCTGTGCCCGGGCGCGGTGGGAGGGCTGTGTGAATGTTTGTGTGGTGTGGGAACTTGAAGGCACAGCCACAACTGGGTGGCAGCAGGTGTGAACGCACATATGCAGGTGTGTGGGGGAGGTTTCGGAGCCTGTGGTTGTGTGACCCAGTGTGTCTGCTGTGCAAGTTAAGTGTGTGCTGTGAGTGTGTACGACCGTGAGGATTTGTGCCGACAAAGACATGGGGGTGATGGGTACTTCGATGGGAGGGAGTGGGTTTGTGAGTCGCTAGAGCTTAAGCACCCGTGGTGTTTGTGTCTATGTAGAGAACAGGTTGTGTGTGGAAAGGGGAGGAGGAAGGATGGGACCCGAGGCCTGAAACTGTCACTGTGGTTTCCCCAGGTGGCCCAGGCCCCCACTTACCCCTTGTGAGGCCTGCTGGGCGGTGCTGATCGCTGGCAAGAGACAGCAGAGCAGCCAGTACCCAAACAGCACCCCAGATGCCTGGACCCCCTTCTTCCTCTCCATGTGGATCAGGAACACTGCCAAGATCTGCACAGAAAGTCAGGAGACACCTCTTAAGGTGGGGCGGGGGGCGGGACGCAGGGGGAAGCCCCACTCTGCCCCCCACCCTTCACTGAGACAAGGAAAGGCAGTAAGCCAGGAGCAAGCCTGGGATGTCCTTACCATCGTGGTGAGCCAAACGGTGGGGTGAATGAGGAATTCGGGGGCCTGGGGCATCCCCTGCTGGATTCTCCAAAGAGTGACAGACACACTGGAGGTGTACAAGATTATGAGGGTGAACCCAAGCACCTGGGGAGACAGGCTTAGATGAGGCTCGTGGGTGAAAAGAAAGGCGGTGGAAAACTGCACCATGACCCCACGTCACTATGGCTCTGGATGGGGCACTGCACGTACCAATGTCATAATTTAACAGTGCCCGGTGGAGGGGAGATTTGCGTAAGAAAAAGCAGTGAGGGGTGTTGCAAACCGATCTTGACCTGTAACTGTCATATAAGAATGAAACACAAGGGTTGGAGCCAACCCCGTGTTTTCCAAAATGCTGGCGGTGCTCCAGGCATGCACAGGAGAGAGCTCAGGTACAAAGGAACAGAGTGGGATGAAATAGACTCATCAGTGAAAAAGTTACACTTCCTTCAAGTCTCTTTCCATCCCTACTGTTAAACCAAGGGGAAACTCTCAGTTGGGACCCGTATGTCTCCAGGCCCTCTCTTGAAGGCTTCGATCTCTCTTGAATAAGAGAGAGCAAAAATGTGGGAGCGCCTACATGTGGGAGAGAAGGCCAGACCGAGGCACACCAGGGAAACTATTGAAAGTACCTCAGTTAGTCAAAGCAGGGGTCACGCTACCACCCGCAGGCAGAGTTTGGCACACGGCCTGTTTCTGTATGGCCTGTGAGCTAAGAATGGCTTTCGACATTTGCCAATCATTGAACAAAAGTAAGAAGAGTAAATATGTCATGCTGCGTGAAAGTTACATGAAATTCAAATTTCAGCGACTGTAAATATTTGTTGAAACACAGTCGTGCCTATTTGTTTACTGTGGTCTGTGGCTACTTTCTTGCTGCAATGACAGAACTCAGTAGTTAGGACAGAGACCACATGACCCCCACAGCCTCAAATATGTACTACCTGGCCCTTTAAGGGAGAGTGTGTCAACCATAGAGAAATGGTTGGCAATAGGACAAAAGTTAACTAGGTGGTATGGGAATGAATGCACGTTGAAGGGCATTCTTGTAGAAGTCTGGAGGAGAATGGGATAGATAGTTGAGCAGAAAGGCTCACCCTTACAATGCCAGTGTTTTTGTAACTCACTAAAATAGATACCCAACAATATTTTTTTATTGATTTTCAGAGAGAGAGAGAGAGAGAGAGAGAGAGATGAGAGCAAAATATCCTGCATGCCACCCTACCTGGGCTCAAACCTACAACCTTTTGGTGCACAGGATGACGCCCAGCCAACTGAGCCACACCAGCCGGGGCGACACCTAACAATTTGAAGAACTGTTCTTTAGTACTGAGAGCTGGGAAACATAAAAATCAATGCATAACTGTTAAACATGTAAAAGGTTTATCCTAGTGTGATCCTAAAATTACCTTGTGTATGCCCTGCTTTGCGGAATGTCAGGTTATGGTGGCCAGAAACTGTCCAGGAACGCATGAGTGTGTGTGTGCGTGTGTGCGTGTGTGTGTGTGTGTGTGTGTGTGTGTGTTTTCATTATTACCAATCTGTTTGAGTGAACCTTGTTCCACTGAGTTTACCTCTGTATCCTGTGGAGTGTTGCTCTGTTTGGTTAAGTTCCCTTCTTGTCCCCACCCCATGTGCTTCTTGATGGGAGGAGTGTCCGCTGCGGGGTCTCTGCCAGGTTCCAGCCTGCTCCTCCCCCGCCCCCCAACCATTGTCTGGTTCCAGGCTCCCAGAGGCAGTAGCTACCATTTTGGTCTTGAACAGGGAGGACATGCGGAGGTAGCCCTTGTCATGGCGGTGGATATAGAGGAGGTAGATGGGGCCAAGGGCCCAGAGGTACATGGGGGGCACCCAGGCCCCTGCCGTTTTCAGGAAGCAAAGGCTTAGTAGGCGGTCAGCAGCGGGCTCAGGCTCCGTCTGGTTCCAGACCTGAGGGAACACCAGGGCGACTTTTATGATGGTACAGCACAGGGGTCCTAAATTCACCTGCTGAGGGGCCAGGCGACTTTTTGGAGCCCTGACATTTATATGAAAACATGCCAAACACTCTTTGGAATACCTTATAATTCTCAACTCCTTTAACCCTAGCAGCAACCCTATCAGGTAGATGCAATGATCACACTGATTTTGCACATGAGGAAGCGGAGGCCCAGAGAGGTTGAGTAACTTGGTTGATGTCACCGAGCTGGAAAGTGGTGGTGCTAGGATTTGAACCCACGTGGTTGGGTCTGGGAGTCTAGGAGACCTGAGCTCCCTGAAAAGTGTTGGGTACGGACTGTCACTTAACCTTTATCACAACCCTAGGATGTAGGTGTCACTGCCCCCATTTCACAGACCTGGAAATTGAGGCACTGAGAGGGAACAGGCTTCTTTGGACTCACACAAACAAGGAGCGACAGAGCTGACGCCACTGACCCCAAACTTTGTTCTCAGTTTGTGATCCTTATCCTGGCCCCTGGCCTTCTCTCACGCTAGAAGAAGTTTGAATATGAAGGTTACAGAACATGGCCTCTTTAGTTTTCTCCCTGCTGTATTAACGGCCCCCATCTCCCTCCCTTCTGGTAATCTTGACTCCTCCGGGATTCACCACTCACCAGCTCTGTAAACTGCAACCTCCCTGTGCCTCAGTTTCCTTCCCTGCAAAGGGGGGATGATAAGAGAATCCATCTCTAAGATGCTGGGCACAAAGAAGGCCCTCATTTAAACATCAGCTGTTATTTTTGCCTTACCTACCAGCCCCTGAAATCGTGAGATTTTTGTGACCTTTACTGCCATCCCATGAACTCCACTCCACTAGCTGATAGACTTATACATATGATGATGATGACTACTACTAGTCACGTCAGGGAGTCTGAGGCTCAGTAAACCGTGTGCCTCGGGCTCTCTCGGGACACGGGCCTTGGTTAAACGGGTTCGCCCTCCCCTGCGTGTTCATCCAGCCTAGTAATTTTGGGGTATCTCCCCTCCCCAGAACTATACCTCCTGGGAGGTCTACCAAACCGGGAAAAGGGGCGTGGGGCTGTCGGGGGACACTCACTCCTGGTCCCACGCTGGGCTCTCCCTGCGCAGCCATCAGCACAGTCTTTCCGTCTGTCTGTCCGTGGGTCTGTAGGTCAGTCCCTGGCAGCCCCCTTGGCGGGGCTCCTAGACCGGGAAGGGGCGGAGCCCGGCAGGCCTGGCCTGGATTCCAGCCCCGGATTGCGAAGCACCGGGCAAGGTCCAGCCTCATGGCGGGGGTGGAGCAAGAAGGGATGAAAAGAGGCTGAGAGAGGCCCCAACGGGCTCCTGGGGAGGGGATCCCCCAGCTCCAGAAAGTGCAGTGGCACCTCCAGATAACCCTCCAGGCCCCCGCAAAAAGTGTCACCCCGAACTTCCTGAATACTGTGGAACTGCAATTCCAGGAATTGATCCCAATGAAAGAACCTAACAGGTGTGCACATGCTAAGAGTCCAACAACTGGGGTGTGTGGGGGAGCCGTCTGATTCAGCTGCCGTCTTCTCATCCGTAGGGATGGACTTCCAGGGTAGTGGGGAGATTCTAAGACGATGACTAGTAAAGAGTTCAGCACTGTGCCAGGCACACATAGGTGCTCAGCAAGTTAGCTATTATTAGCATTAGTATTATTATTTCACTCATAGGTTATTACGTAGTGGTTTAAAGAGCCGTTGCAGAAATATATTAATTTGGAAAGATGGTTGCAAAATGCTAAGTGAAAAAGAGATCATAGTCTAGAATAGGCTCTGATCCTGAAAAGAAAAAGTATATGCTGAAGTTGGAGAAAGTGGGAAAGTCATGTCATTTACCTTCTTCTGCAACTTAAAGCAAGGTGTGTCCTCAGCCACGAGTTCTTTTTGGAAATGGTTCTACGTGGCCTATATGCTTAAATAAAGAGATGGAAGTGCACTAAAGCAGCATTATGGGAATCCCAATTTTCTTTTTTTTTCTTTCCTTTTCGATTTCCTTTCTTTCTGCAATGAGCACGCATTCTTTTCAGGATAGGACGGAAATGCTCAGCTTTTTCAGACAGATAAGCACAGATGCTCGGTTTGGGTGCAGGATGAAAATCCTCTGCTCTCTCCACGCTGCCTTGTTACTTCTCAGGCTCTTGACCTCATCTTCTCTCCTGCTTCCTGCAGGACCTCAACCACATGGGTTCCCCTGGCCTTCTCCCCCCGCCCCCAACCCCCTTTCTTTTTTTGTTTTGCCTTCAGCCATCCTCCTGTCTGGGTCTTCTGGGAAAGCAGGGACACAAAGAACCCAAGGATCTGTCTTGGAGTGCCGGGGTCCGGCCCCAGCGGTCCAGGGGTTCCCAAAGGTGTGGACGGAGTTGGCGAAGAATGAGGGACACGGAGACAGTGTTCAGATGATCAGCATAGCCAGGTTCTCTCTTTATTCTCCTGTTACATCTGTATTTATACCATTTGATCCTATAAGCATGCTTCTATAATCACATCATGGTATGTTTTGGGTCCTCCCTTGACCTTCTACAGTTCCTTGTTTCCTGTCCATAGTTTCTTATCTGACCTTTGCCAAAAATCCCATCTCCATCTAGTTCTGTTGAGTTTAATCCTATCCATTCTATTCCAAAGGTGTTATCTCCATTCCAAGGTCACTACTCTACTGTTCTGTTAAGCTACAAGGAAGTAACTGAAGGAGATTATCCTAAGTAAAGATTATGTAGTTTAAGCATGATTGTTCGTAGTTAAGGTGATTAACTACCTGCCTGGCACTTAGTTAAGGGGTTTTATTGATTTATTCCCTTCCTTAGTCCTGTTAATCCCTAACTCCAGGGAAAAATCCCCACCTGGGTAAACAACCTTTCTCGGGGAGGTAGCCCTCATAGCGCTAAGAAGGGGAGCAAACATATTAAGAACAGTATGCCAGGTCCCTTGAAACATATGTTTCTTCCCTGTAGCGACTGTGTCAAGCAACAAGGATGGACCAGCCTCCGGCATTGGAGCTGAGTGTGGCAGGTCTGCGGTTTACACTTACACTATGTCTGTGTATGTGCGGTGGTTTTGGTGGAGGCTGTTGGAAATTTGGGAGAGGCTTGAGCTCCCTCTGCCTGCAACCCCCTCTCTAATTGGCATTGCCACAGCCCTAGTCCTTTATTTCTGTGTATATATTTGAAGATGAATTTGAGGGGAATGGTAGACATTCGAGGGGGAATGGTCAGGAAGGCAGGATGAACATAGAGAATATCTATGAGCCAGGGACAGAACTTGGGCACCTCCAAACCTACTTTCCAGCACTCTGAACATCACATGGCTGCCTGCAGAGAGCCCTAGACAAGTCCCTTTCCCTCTCTGAGCCTCAGTTTCTCATTCTGTAAGACGAGAAGGTTCCATAGGCCAGTATTTTCTAATTGGTGGTTTTTCAACCCTTGGTGATTTGCCAAGACAGACCAGGGATGCATGTTATAAACAAAATATAAAAACTATCAAAATAAAGCACTTGATTTTGTTTTAGGAGCAAAATGGAAGATTTCCAAAAGTGTCAGGTCAGAAAAAGCAATTTTTGTCTATTTCTATGTGGTGACCTGCAGTTAAATTCAATCTATGTTATACTATCTATCCAATCTTAGGACAAAATACAACGTTCTGAATCTAAATTACTTTTCAGACAAATCATGTTTCATCTTACAGAGTTAATTCAAAGTAAATTAAACTGCATATGGGAAAAAACCCTCAAAATTTGTTTCTATGCAAATGTTATTAGAGCTTGGATTAAAATAAAATATAAATATAAATATATTTTAAGTGTTGTGCTGAACTTAAATGACCTATGTTTTGCTTTAAAAATACTTACTGGTCATTTATCATTTATCATGGAAAAATGCACCAACTTATACAAATTTCTAATTTGGTTTTTGAGATAGATATATATATATATATATATATATATATATATAAAACCTGCGAAATATTTGGGAAAATTGTTGAACACTATTTCTATTAATAGTCTCTGGTCCTTTCCAGTTTCAGGGATACTGAATTCCAAAGTAGAATTCTTTGGAATTTGTGCCTATACTCACACGCCTTGCAACTGCACCTGTCAGACGGTGTGCGGAGTCCTCCAGGCCTCCAGAGGGCACACATGACCTCTTTTTGGTGTTGAGCATGCGCGGGAGTCATCTTGCCTGGGGGCGTGGGCCGGGGTCGGAGCGCGCACGCGCGGTGGCGGCGGGGCGGGGCTTGGGCTGTCAGCCACCGGCCGAGGAGGAAGCAGCGGGCAGCGTGCGGTGTGAGGAGCGGGACGGGGACCTCTGCGAAGGGTCGGGCGGCGGAGGCCGGGCCATGCGGTTGTGCCGGGGCGTGGGGCCGCCGGGGCCCGCGGTGGTGGCTGCCACCGTGGTGCTGCTGCTGAGCGGCGTGGGACCGGCGCGCGGCTCCGAGGACATCGTGGTGGGCTGCGGGGGCTTCGTCAAGTCGGACGTGGAGATCAACTACTCGCTCATCGAGGTGAGCGCTCGCCCCGCGGCCCGGCCGGAGCTCGCTGTGTGACCCTGGGCCGGTTACTCAACCTCTCTGGGCCGCGGTGGTCTCTCCTCTGACACCGAACGGTTGCCACCAGCCCCTCGTCCCCGGAGTCCTTTCCCCTTTAAAGGCGCCACTTGCCGCGGGGCCCTCCGCCTTCCGGGACGCGCTGGAGTGGAGGTTCCTCCCGAGGGGCCGGCTCTGCAGGCGGGGTGGGGGCCAGAACCCGCGTGCGCAAGGGTGTGAGGGACATTTCTGGTGATGGTGGTGCATAACTTGTACCAGATCACTCAAAACCAAGGGTCCTCCAAACCAAGGCCCCCAGATTCTTGAAAGCCCAAACTCCAGCTCCCAGCATGCAGAGTCAAGGTAATCCAGAACCCAGACTGTCCCCAGCATCTAGGCCCGATCTCCCAACACCCAGTCTCAGCAGGACCCAGGTCCTCAAAACTCGGACCCCCTGAAACTCAGATTTCCCAGAAGCCATATTCCAGAACCTAGAGACCACAAGTCTTACCCCCAAACTCCACAACACAGTGCCCCCAAAAGTTCTATTCCACTAACCCCCCCCCCCCCCCCAAAGCTCACTGGGATGCGTTTAAAGAGCAGCAGTTCCCATCCCAGAGATCCTGATCCAGTAGATCTCTGTTGGCATCTCTGGAGCTGGGAATCTGTATATTTAATCCCTGCCCCCCTTTGCTTACCCCCTTGGGACTCTGTGCTATCCTGATTGCCATACTGGGTAGTTATTGGAATTACACTAGAGATTCGTGCAGAAGTCTTTTTATTAAGTTGCAAAGCCCTAGGCAGATGATGATCAGTCCATTGGAATTATGGCCCAGAAAGCTTTGTGATGAGGAAGTAGGGATAGAAAGTCACTTGTCAGGGTGAGTGGGCAGGGACCCAAGGGAAGGGTGGCTTCTGTTTTAGGTTATTGATGATGGGGCAGAAGATAAGGATTTAAAAGAGAAAAAGAAAAAAAAAACAAACCAAAAAGATGCCAAAAAAGAAGGGGCTGAGGACTGAGACTCCAAAGGCTGCCTGAAAGCACATTGGAGCCTCCCCGGGGCTGGCAGCTGCAGGGCTGTGGTGAAGGGTAAGCTGGTGTTCTGCAAAGGTTGCTGAGGATTGGGGCAGGGGGAGGAAGCCGATGCCATGCCCCACTTGCTCTTTGACCTGGCCTTGCCCCAAGTGCCAATTTATTCCTGTAGATGGTGTGAGAGAAGCAGCAGGACCTGGTGCCATATATTTCCTAAAGAAGATCATCAGTTATCACCTTTCAGGCCCCTCAGTCTGTGGCTTCTCCACCATTTTTGATTTTAAGAAGTTGGGTGTTTAATCAAAGGCTCTACCCACTGGCAGGGGCAGGGCTCCGAGGGTCAGCTGGGTACCTATGCCACCTCCTAGATTGCTTGCAGTGTGTGGGCACGGGGCATTTCAGAAGCTGCCTGGATAGGCTTTTTTGTAGCTTGTAGTTTCCTGGGACTCTGGGAGGAAAGTGAAGGCAGTTAGGGACACTCCCACCCCAAACACAATAGTGACCTTGAGAGCCGGGCAGGTATTGTGACCTAGTATTAAGTGTGCTCCGTGAGCCCAAGGCTGCCTATCCAGATGGTCTGACACATTTGTTCTTTCATAATATCTGATTATGAAATCAGACATTTCATATGTGTAATGTATATTGTCATCCTGTGTCCTGATCTGTACTTAATGAAAGACAATGCAAATAATCAAGATGTTTCACAATAATTTC